GAGGTGTAGTTTTTTTCATTATAAACACTCACCCATTTTTCATGATTTATAATATACCCGTGCGAATTAGTTAGCTTCCACTTGAGATGCAAAAGTAGAGAGCTACTGACTAGTTTGGTCTATCATAGTATAAACTATGAGATGAACAAGGTCTTCCCAAACTATTTAAATACTTAGTCAAGAAGTAGTCGGTATTTAATTTGAGGACTGAATTATCAGCAAATTCTTTTGAACTGAAACTAGTTGATGAGATTAAAACATGTGCCCTTGTGCAACAAGTGAAAGGAACATTGATTATGATTTCACTAGCTTTACTGAATACAGTTGGAGGTGCTTTGTTGCGCATCCGCACCAGATCACAATTGGCTAAGCTGTAATACATATCCCTCACAACAATCCAATTTAGATCACACATTTCTTGATATATTGACTATCTTCCAAATATATCTTTGTGCTTCTTTGTTCCTGACTTCTGGACTGACTGGGGTTACAAAGCTGTTACGGTCAAAAGATTTGTCGAGGAAGAACACTGACCGTAATTGTAAACTGCGATCTGTAGTTATGAAGGGTAGACGACAAAATTTTGGATCACGTGATCGAAGAAACTCAAAGCTTTAGGGTAACTATAAGACATTGTTGTGAATACAATTTTCTTCAGTGGTTTTAAAAATAATTTGTTCTACCCACGTATGAACCGGATTTGCCTATTACGTTAATACTATTCTTATCGTTATCCGTCATGTCAAATATATTTTATGTTAAAAATTAATATGAAAATATATGACAGACGTGGATAGATAAGCGATAGACTCACCAAAATTGACTTCTTTGGAAGGTTTGGTTGCGATTGCCAAGTGGTCGTAGATGTAGATCCACCAGTTGCAGAAGATTTGACCAAAGTTGAGGCTTGTTCCAATATTTGGCTCACCAAATGTAGCGTGGTGTCGAGTTGAGCTTGACTATGAACACCGCTACAAGACTACGTGCCAATAGACCAATAAGATTCCGGTAGGCCAAAAATCAGAAGGCAGATGATAATAGTAGTTGTAATATATTTGTTGGCAATCTCGTGGTATCGAAAGAATACCTAGATCGTGCCAAAGGAGTACAAGCGTGGTTACTGAGCGTAACCGAATTCGTACAAGTTCAAAGTCAACGGGAGATTAAGTAAGTATAATGGCTGTCATTAGCACAGTTAAACAAACGAGCACAGTAAAACAGTCACTGGTACAATTGGTTATAATAATAATTGTTTTCATCGAACCAATCGCGTTCTGTTAACGAAAGTAGGTCACTACACACTTATACTCTATTGCCTGTTGAACAAGCTTCGGAGGTTCATATAACAGACCCAAGGATCATTTAAATGGCAATTCGTTACACACAATGTGGGGTTAGCATGATCATCTGTCGAAGCATCAATACCCAAAAATTTATAAATTTAAGGTTCTTTCTGTCAGAATCTAACCTAAGTTATAGTTTTTTTTCTTGCCCTCTCGTCTTCTTAAATAATCCGCGAGCAGCAAGCCTTTACGGGTAAATATCTCTGACTTCCTAAGTTTATGTCAGTTCCGCATTAACAAGTCCCTTTCACTTAGACAATTAAATACCACTTTTAGCGGCCCGGTTTGATTTTTATAAATCCTCTTGGCTATTTAGTTTATATACCTTAAGCAGAGCGATTCCAGAGTTGTCCTGACGCATTAATTAGTTTAACAGATCTTTTATGAATCTTACGTCATGCTTAAAGCGAGTTCAGTATTCTGGAGTTTCAATCTCCTTGACTCTAAAAGACAACTGACCTGGCATTATGATTAGCCTTTAATTTCTCAGCTACAGTTCGAAGGACTGGCATTTCTTTAACGACATTAGGTCGTTTCTTATTCCAGATAAATATATTCTCATCAGCTTTCACTGGAGTAGCAATCAGAGTCGCGTTACTGTCTGTGAGATCTTGAATGATTGTCTATGACTCGAGTAGTCAGGTTGTTTTTCCTGATAGAAACAGACCTGGCGTTACGACTACGTCTTCTAGGTGTTTCTTGTTCGCTGCTATTTGGAGGGTAACGAACAGAAGAAGCTTACTTTCTTCAGTTTTTGTTTCTAACAAACCTCTTTATAGACCTTCCTCCATCTACCCGTGTAAGTCAACAGACTCTGAGCTTATTTGAGGTAATTTCACATCGATTTGTGGATCGATGTGAGCACCATTTTATTTATCATAATTACGTTTGTAAATATGCTTTTTAGCAGCATTCACCAATTCAGTGGCTTCGGCTAGCAAGCTGTTTGCGTTCCAGCAGCACTGCTGGCACAAACACATACAACCATTTTTATCAAATAGTTTGAAATACGCAGGTGTTAAATTCGTTCAAACTTCGTGGTACTATCCTTTGTACTCATCGCACTGTATGCCGCTTTCCACAGGGCATCGAGAGTCTGTGTGTTGAGTATTGATTTTTTTCACTGAACATTCATCAATCAAAGGTTTTCAAAAAGAATCTATGCATAAACAATACCTAGAGACAAAAGAAACTGATGACCGGAAAAAGTTAAAATCTGTAAATTTTTAGAACCAAAAGTGCAAAAAAATACAAAAAGAACCAATGTACTCAAAAGTACAGATGATAAATTACTTTCGAGAAAAACGATATACTTAGCGATTACTTTAACTAAAACAAATTTAGTTAGAGCAAAAACAACTGTTTTGATGAGTAATAAACTATCAAATCAATAAAAGTAACTCAGTGAGGCAAAATGTCACCATCTTTTTCAAACAGCTCGTGATATTTTTTGAATGTTCCACAATAAAATGCAATTAATATGAACTTATGAAGAAGAATAAGGATGATTACAAAATTATCTGTTAAATGATTTCCTTTGACGTCTACCGTATTTTTCATAAAAAATAGTTTATTTTACAGTGAGAACGGTCCCATATTTTCGTCTAGGTTGCTACCATATTTTACAGTGAATGACGGTGTGGGGTAGAACCTATGATTGTAACCAGCCTACTACTGACTTGCCGTATCATAAATTGTTCGAGCGTCTTCGATTATTCATAATTTAATTTGTTAACTACGGTTGGCTATCACCATTCATGTACTTCACATGTGGCACAGAAGCGACGCCAAACATGGCTGTTTTGTGATAAGTATGTAAGTATTGAGGTTTACATTATACACATATGGGCACTTAGCTCCCAAATAATCTTTGTTGAGATGCGTTCTTTACAGAGCCTTTCCATTGCTAATACCGTCGTCAAAGTAAGTTACCTGTGGTGCATTGGGTCTCAAAGAGCGTTAAGGTGGAACGCCTTATTATGCATCATTTTCCCATAGTGTAAATTCATCAAATGCTTCCTACCTTACATTAAGTCTTGAGTATGTGACTGGAACTTCACTCTGTTAGTGATATGATGGAAAGAAAGTCAATATTCGATTGATTTACTCATTATGAGTTTTATTCAACATTACATCCGTGTTGATTTAATGTAATTATTACTCAATGTAGTATTTATTTTCTTTTCTCGTATGATATTTTATTCTGTTAATATACGATATTCTTGTATTCAGTTGACATGAACTATGCTCTATATGTGATTTATGATAACTGAGTATTTTTCATGTATGTTATTTCATTCTAATTATTAATCAAAATGGGTGTACAATCAATATATAAATGAGTGTATTTTCGACTAAGGTCGTCGTCGTCATCATAGTGTTTTGGGCTAATAAAACTTCACTTATACCAGTCTTGTGTTCTTACTTTCGCATCGTGGGAATTGTGGAGGTCCCTTCGTTCCTAGCATAAGTGGTCAGCGTTTTGCGACACAACAATCAGAGACGACCAGATACAAAAAGTAGTATTCGATTCGATACGCAAGACATAACAACTGTCGACGGGGATTTCGGAAAACATTCACAAGACATAACAGTTAGGGATTTCAAAACATGAATTACCCTTTCCAAAGAAAATATCTCGCCTAAAATGTATTAACAATCAAGCTGTCTTTTTTCTCAAATTGGTTACACATGAATAATGTTACATAATTACCATATAAAAAACAATTTCTAATTAAGTTGATGATATTTCGCCTAGTAGCTTAGATAATAAAGTATGCTATTGAAATGAGGTGTTATTTGACAGAAAAATACAAACATTAGAACAAATAACCAAAAATGATTAACAAAACCCTAGAACTAATTCTGACTTTATATAACCCATTATGTACTGAACAACGGATGGAAATGCTCTAATATAACATGTAGGGTATAAACAAAATGTTAAATAGCCAGATTCAACTATTTCCTGATAACTTCACACAGTGAAAATGAAGTTCCATTACGTTTTTTCGATAAATAAACTTGCATAACAACAATATTAATTAAATATTGTATAATTTGAGCAAACTGTCTTGAAAGTGAAGACAGTCAAAAAAAAAGAAGAGCACTAGAAATAAACAAATATCAGTGAGTACAGCAAGAACACATGAAAATATGAGAGACTAATTAACATATATTCTAGCTGCATATAGATACAAATGGAAATATGAAAATCCATAGAATAAATATATCAGAAAGCAATCCGAACAAATTATTGAAAATATACTACTAACCAGTAAACATATTACAATTACATCAAATATAGCAATATAATAACTAACACACAAATATAAACAAATAATGTAACAAACCAATAGGACACAACATCGTAAATATTATAACAGAAAGGAGCAATTTTCATGACCCATGTCTATATATTTTTTATGGGTAACATGTGGGGAATAGGTTTAAATGTAGCAGTCATTAGAATGTGAGTAGTATATCTGAAGAAGAAAAATATGAATATTCCGAAGAACAGATAGAACACAAGAAAAATGAGTAAAATAACTAAACTTTAATATAGAATATAGCTGTTGATTGAGTGTATATTTTTCGTGTTTATTTTTTTATTTATAACACTAAGACACTGAGTAATTTAAAAGAATCATATATAAGTTCTTATTGCCATTAAATCAGTGTGACAAACAAAAAGAACACCAAATATCCGCTATTACAATGTTGTAGGAGCAAAATATCACAAAAAACCAATTAATTCCTTGGTTTTTTATTAACTTCTTTGATGAGGTATATGACCGCCGTTGCCCATACGAACTTGACGACGTTGAAAACCATGATTGATTAGTGGACCACGGCGCAAACATTTGGAACGTTGAGAATCAACACATAGGTTTGTATGATTATTTTGTTTACGACAAGCATTCCAACGTGCCAACGCTTGACGTGTTCCATTGGAATTTCTAGCGGAGGACTGATGTATATGACCAGGTCGCAATCCATTACGTGGATGAGATTTTAATATTTCGGTTTTTGACGTTATAGGAATTACTGTATTTCCAGGAATAGTCCCAGACAAATGTTTATTTTTTGATAATTTGTTAGTATTTTTTGATCTTACGGGAGGCTCATTATATCTGTCCAGACTACAATGAGAGCTATAACAGTTATAATCACTGTTCGCAGAAGGTGAACGAGATTCATAATCAACTTCAGTGTCTGATCGTCGACCAGCTACCGAATGTGGGCGACTTGGATATCCATCATCTCGATCGAACTGCATGAATGACCAATCAGAACCTACAAAACAATGATCGAAATTGAGAATGGTTAACAACTATTAATAGTATCTGATGAGACATAATTAAACTTTCAAAATTACTTTGACTATTTTGAAAAAAACCAAATCGAACATTTAAAATCTAGGCTAAGCCGTGACTTAGAAGTTTAGACTCACTCTCTCTAGACTTTCAAATAAATAGTAATTCCAAATACCGATCCTTCTGATTCAATTTTCATAGATGGGTAGTTTCTTTTTTTCTCATACAACTAGGAGGCCTTAAATTTAGGTAGCCAAATTCATAGTTGTATAAATAACGAAAGATGAATAGTGTCACCCAAGACAATTAAGCAAAGAAAATTTTCTTTTCGATTATCTCATTTACTAAAGCTATACGATCGTATTTGTAGTTAATTTTATTTGACAAAATAGTTGGTTGATGAGTTAAGTTACATTTTAGTTTAATTTAGAGTTTTACTCAGACCATGTAACAGTACAGCGTACTATATAGACTACCAGAAATTTAAAGAGAAATGGCAAAAAAATTTGTGGTTACGGAATTAATTCATTCATCAATGAAGTGTACAAGAGAACACTGATCATTATTTGACAACTAACTTTCATCTAATAAGGTTCTGTTAGATTTCCAGCTGCCCAACAGTAACATCATAAACTGCTTTTCTTAAAATAAACTTCAAGAAACTTTATGATGTGTATTTCCTCAAGGATCCACAATGCATTTTAACAAATATCAATAAATGATAACAAAGTTTAATATTAGGCTCCATAACTGAACGCGTTAAAAAGAAATAATATCAACATATATACTGCTAGAAACGAAATCTAATTACACATCCATTATATGTGACAATTATATCTGATATATATATATATATATATATATATATATATATATATATATATATGATTTTGATGTTGAGTAATACGCTGAAGAAATCCATACAAGTTGGCTGGACGAAACGTTGGAATTATTTCCTTTTCAATCGCTGAGATTATTCCTAATATAATGACTTCTCTATACTCAGCGACAAATTTCTGTCAAACAATTCGTTCTAATCTTGAGGAATATTCGTACTAATTACACATTATTTACATTAAGTTTAGAAGCTATCAAAACCAAAATAAACTATCATTTAGTAACATAGATAAATTTTATTAAATGTTAGTAATCTCCACATCTGGGAACTGGACCTAATTCCATCTGACTGGTCTCAATCACTGATTGTGCCAGTCTAAAAAGAACAAAAGTCCTCTTGTGATAATCACAGAGAAATCAGTTTGACTTATATAGTGTCTAAAATATTAGCTTCAATAATACTTCGACGTCTAACCAAAGCTCGTGAAGAGCAGACTAAAGAAAACCAGGCTGGTTTTTGACATGAACGTGGTTGCATAGATCAGATATTCACACTACGTCAGATCTTAGAACATAGACACACATTCAGACGCCCCATAATCGTAGTATTTCTCGACCTTAAGGCGGCATTTGACTCTGTTGACCGTGAGGTTCTATGGCAGTGTTTGTCACTGAAAGGAGTACCAAAGAAGTACATTAACCCTATAAAGGCTCTCTAATCGAACACAACTGGTCGAGTGAGAGCTTACGGTGAACTGTCATCAGAACTGATTACCTCAAGTGGTGTTCGTCAGGACAGTCCACTCTCTCCATTCTTGTTTAACTTTGTCGTTGACGTCCTTTTAGAGATGACACTTTCCTCATCTAAATTTCCAGGAGTTGAACTTCTACCGGGAGATCCACTTGTTGACTTAGAATATGCCGATGACATAGTTCGATTTGGTGAAGACGCTGACAAAATGTAGAGTCTGCTGACCACTGTAAGCAACAATGCAGGCATGTTCGGCATGCGATTTTCTCCCTCGAAATGCAAAATTTTGCTTCAGGATTGAGTCGCAACAACACTTGAACTAATGATAGGGAATGAGGTAGTTGAGCGTGTCGACCGCTTCACTTACATGGAACTCTCATCAGCCCTTGTGGTCTGGTGTGTGACGAAATCTCAGCACAGATACAGAAGGCTCGACTAGCTTTTGCCAACTTGCGTCATTTGTGGCGTAGGCGAGATATCTGTCTATCAACTAAAGGACGTACTTACCGCACAGCAGTTCGTTCCGTCCTACTTTATGGCAGTAAAACATGACCGGTGAGAGTGGAGGATATTCGTAGGTTACTAGTATTCGATCATAGATGTCTTCGAAGCATTGCTCGTACATCCTGGGTCCACCGAGTAAGTAATGCAGTTGTTAGGAAACGGTACTAGGTAAGGATGGCAAATCAATAGATGAAATAGTGAAACTTAATCAGTTGAGATGGCTGGGACATGTGTTACGTATGCCCAACCACCGACTGCCCCGACGTGCGATGTTTTATGGTGTAGAAGTAGGTTGGAAGAAAGCTAGGAGCGGCCAGACCAAAACATGACACAAATCCATGAAGTCACTGACAATCGGACTGAGCCATGTCGGTAGGTGTAGACTACCTGGTTGGGATCCGCGAGACAATAGCAACCGATGGCTAGACACCCTGAATGACATGGCTCGAAATACTTTGCAATAGCTCAGGTGCATCCACTCTTTGTGTTCTCCCAAACTCTAACCTTCTGAATTCTTCATGTCCTTAATTTTCTTTCCAAATCTATTCCACTGAATTATGCTCCTTGAATAACATCATCAAACCTTAATGTTCCCTATTACTACTTATACTTTCACTACCTCTACCATTATAGGATTTGAATCGACAACTGAATCTCTGTGCTAATGTGGTATGGCAACTCGAACTGATGTACGTACGTACGAAGTTCTACGTTATTACTGACTGACTGAGTAATCCCCACTTAGTTTTTTGTTTGTTTAGCTTTCAACTATATAAATATGACTAATTAATAAGAATATAATAACAATATAAATAAACTTAATAAAATCAACTAGTAACATTACCAATGATGTCATAGACTAACAAATATTTCTCAAAAATTATATTCAAATTAATTTATTATCTAGAATTTTATTTTTCTAAAAAGCATATGATTGACTGTCTTAAAATTTACAATAATAAAAATGAAAAAGAAAACGAAAACGAAGAAATTCCAACATCGGTCATAAATTCTTTAAGCCAACAGTATTATCTATTACATTTACAAAAGTTATTTACTTATTTATCTTATATAGTATGTACGCTATTTTATTAAATAATTTATATTATCATTCTTATATTGTAAACAGATGAAGAAAATTTATTAAATAAATAGATTCATATTATTCTACTACAAATTTTTCTTTCTTTCTTACTTTATTCAAATATTGTATGATAAACTAATGGATACTTACTTATCAAGTAATTAGATAATTTAATAATTATATATGAGACTAAGGTTGTCCATTGACAAAAAATTTCAAATTAGAATGAAACTGTGTTTACTTCAATACTTTATGATTTTTCTGTTATTATTCAGAAGGGGTTTTTTGAAGACTGTAGTAATTTCAATAATTGAAATCATGAGTTAATTGAAGCTAGACAACCATGGAAAACCTAGAAGCACTGGACGGCCGTTTCGTCCCATTGTGGAACTCCTCAGCAGTGCGTATCCACGAACCCGCCATCCGCAGGAGTTGAACCCACAACCTATCAGTTTCACGCACGAGCGCCTAACCAACTAGACCACTGAGCCGGCATCGAATGGTGTTGATGTCTAACTTTAACTAATCTATAAATTGAGCGACACACCCACCATTGTCTTCAGTTAGTTACTATCTCACAACTTACCCGGTTGAACTCCACAAGTCACTGCTTCTCACTAGAACTCCAGGATATACATCCTGAAGCCAGTCACTAGTGAGTATATGTTGATTAGTATCAGAAGGGGCTTTGTGGAGAATGTAGTAATTTCAATAGTTGAGAGCATGAGTCAATTGATGCTAGACCACCATGGAAAACCTGGGAGCACTGGACGGCCGTTTCGTCCTATTGTGGGACTCCTCAGCAGTGCGTATCTACGATCACGCTCTTGGGATTCGGACCCAGGACCTATCGGTCTCGCGCGCGAGCGCTTAAGCATTAGACCACTAAGCCGGCATCCAACGGTGTTGTTATTCAGTAATCAAAACTGTAATAAAATTATACAAATCTTTGCAAAAATGTTATTTATTCGGAGTGTACAGTCGTGTTTGTAGTTGTTTTCTAAACAGTTGCCCATAATAAAATCATTAACAAAAATTAGCCAAAAATATGTTTAGGTGTTGAATCTAAGCTACATAATAACTGTATGGTTATAAGAAGTAAGTGAAATTGAAATGAATTATGAAAGAAAGAAACAGAAGACAATTGTTAAGTATAGAGAAGATAAAGAAAAGATAAACACCTATTACAAACAACTTACAAAATTAGAAGAATAGTCAGTACCGTGGTAAAATAATGGACAGAACATATTACATCTGATCAGGCTTAAATCGATAAATTACTATTTTCTTATTAACCATTGGTTATTGCGTAACTTTGACACAAAATAGAAAGTTGATGCACTATTAACAAGGCTTCTAAAAACCAATCAAGCATATTTCTATTAAAGACCACCAAATTCAAACAGTGATTATAGATACGATTATACAGCTTTAGTAAATGAAATCGTCGAAAGAAAAATTCTATTCGTCAAATTGTTTATATGTTGCTTCATGAAGCAATAGCTTTCTTTAACTGTAGATATAATACTAATCATTAAAACCAAAAGCTTCGAAGACTATACAACCCTAACTATCTCTTGTTTATAATCTTTAAATACAGAATGATGTAAAAGTGGAATTCATTAATTTCTGAGTGTAACTAGAAGGAAATGATTAAATAAGGCTTTATATTAGTTGTAGTTCATCAGAAGTGATGGTCTAGAGTCAACTAAAATATCTTCGAAGTTTTCCTTTCGCTTTATTTATCAGTGCGGCAAGAAACCTCGTCCAGATGTGAGATAGATGACTGAACAACAGAGATTAT